ATTATTATTATTATTATTATTATTATTATTATTATTATTATTATTATTATTATTATTATTATTATTATTATTCACAAAAAATGTGAAATCACAGGTGCCAGTTCTTTAGCTGGTATTGGCCAGTTCTTTAGCTGGTATTGGCCTTCATATACATTAAATTCTTCCAAAGAACCTAGGATGTCATAATAGATTAGCATACTATATGTGCAGATCCAAGCATTGCAACCTTTTATGATTGATAGAGGGACATTTTGTCAATGCATTTTCTAAGTACTAAGTGGGTACCAAGAGCTTTTTGGTATGGTAGCCAGTGTTCTGATAACCACTGGGACCACTATGGCTACTTTAGGCCATAATCTCTCACTTTCTGTTCTATTCTGTAAAGGTTTTCAAAGTCTTAATTAAAAACAATAAATTTGTTTACTTTATACTATAATTATGTTATTTCATATTGAACTGGAAATTATCCCACATAGTTAACATTTTAATCAATTTACAAATATAATGGTTAAATGGTTAAAACATTTTGTTATCAAAAGATAACAAGTGAACTTCTGCATCAGTAAAAGCATTATCTGGACCAAACCGCGGCCAGCATTAGATTCGTGCGGTGCCTCGGCCCTGCCTCCTGAGTGTTTGCATAGGAGGCAGTGAACGCACAGGGCCTGGTGTCCCTGGGGAATGCGTTCTGAGCACTTCCCTTTCACCCAGGACGCCAGCCCTTGCGCACTTGTCGTCTCCTATGCACACGCCCAGGGAGCAAAGCAATGCCGTGGATCTAATGCTTGCTGCGGTCCAGTGGTCAGGTTGCAGATCATTACCTCACTCGCTGGCCTTTCACTGGGACCATCCCGCCCCCACATGGGCCTTGCTGCCAATCTCGCCTCCTGACTTCATTCCTTCCTGAACCACGGAGGAAGGAAGCAGATGGCAAGGAGATGAAATGGGACCTTTAGGCCCATGGGGCTTCTGCTTGCCAGATGCAATGGGTGATAGGCAATCACAGGGGCTATGGAGGGTGCACAGCAGGTGGTGGCATGCAGGTTCTGGCATTGTGGGGGGAGGAGCAGAAGCAGAATTGCCCTCTCGGCATCAGGCGTGGAGTAGAGTGGACAAAAAAGGGAAGCTGCTGCTTCAGAGGTTTTTTTTTAATCTGCCAGAGGTTCCAAATAGAGGCTTCCCATTTTGATCCCGCCCCCATTGTTTCCTCTGTGTGGCTCTCCACTCACTTCTCCCAGATCCGTGCATGTCTTTGCATGCACAGGGGGAAGTGTCCAGCAGCCCGCTGCGACCACCAAGCTGGCTCTCCAAGAAGCAGGCGCGGTGGCGGCACCAGAAGCAGAGTGGGGGAGAGGCACGTGATGCAGACCACCATCATGTGGCTGGAATGGGCAAGCAGCATTCCCCTCGCCTCCCAGTGACCAACTTTTGCCTGCTGGACCTGGGTTTGCTCTACCACCTCTACTCAGGGTTTCTAGCTGGCTTCTTCATCTGCTTCGGGCCAGGCAGGTCTGCTGAGTGTGGTAATATGTTTGCTGAGTGGTAGCAGCAACAGCCCACAGTGGGGCCGAGGTGCATCGGGTGCACGAGAGGAACATGCTCTGTGCATAGGCCAAGGGCAAGACCTACGAGGGGGCCAAGAAGATGATCAGCAGCAACCTCTCCATCTGGAAGCAAAAACTGGGATGGAGTAAGCGCATCCAGCGATCTAGATCACGGGCCTCCCCCACTTTCTCCTGATGCTCCTGCAGCATGTGCTTCTGGGATGTCCAGCCAAGTGGAGTAGACTCCAGAACCTCCAAGTGTGCCAGCTGAGGGGCTGGCAGGCTGCTGGAAAACATCGGCCCCACGCACAAAAGGTGGTGAGAGCATGATAGCCAATGGTTACCAGTACTAGCCACCCCACTTCCTGCATTGCCTTGTGACAGCAACATCCCCACCCCCATCCCCTGCATCACCTCACCTCATCCTGTGCGACAAGCCTCCTGCCCACCTACCAGAGACCCCTGAATTCCCTTCCCAACACAACCCCACCCATCAAGCGATGTTGAACTGATCACACACACACTGAGCCACACTGAGTCAACCATGACCACCCGACCCAGCCCCCTGAGGACAACCAAAATGCTGATGCGGCCCTCAATGAAATTGAGTTTGACACCCCTGTTTTAGAGCTACAATTTAGCAGAATATGTTGATGATTATGTAGCTAGACTTCTAGTAATTTTTTAAGTTTTAATTTCTTATCCACATAGTTTGAGGAAATTCTAATTGTTTACAATATTTAATTATGCATATAAAATGGTATGTGGGATAACATAATAGATTGTAATTGTGCCACTTTATGTTACTGCTTCTATAGGTACACTTCATGTAGGGGATGAAATTCGGGAAATAAACGGAATTAGTGTGGCAAATCAAACAGTGGAACAACTTCAGAAAATGCTTGTAAGCATATAAAAAGTTTTTATCTCATTCATTTTACTTTTAGTATGAGTTAAAGGCTACTACCTTCACAAAAGCAATACCAACAGAATATTAGTCCAAATTAAACTAAATTTAAGCCTATGGAAAGAAATATTCTGTAAAATTGATACTTCTTTTCTCTTTTTTTCCAACTCTTCTTCCTTTCTATATCTTTTTTTTTATAAACTAGGAACCAGGTCCTCTCATTTTAAATTGGCATAAACTCCAAATAATATTTTGAAAAGAGGAATAAAAATAATAATTGACTGTATCAGTACAGTCAATCAGTGTTCGTTAACTAAGTAGTAAAGTTTGACAAATATTTAGTAATAACACTTGAGTATTTAATTAAATTACATTTTCAACAATTGCAGAATCTGAGTTATATTTGTTGGGTTTATTTTTCTACATATATTAGTCTTCACATTTTGTTGAAAATAGTTCTATTTTCATTTATAACATTCTAGAACATACTCCACATTGTAATACCGTACCAAGGACAAGAAGAAGAGTAACATTTTGTTAAGCAGTTTTCATTTTTGTTTGATTTAATTATCCTTGTTATTTTTTTCCTACATGGATTATTTGTCCATAAAATAATCCCATTCTTGGAGTCCAGGTTGATTTATTTATTTATTTTCAGAAAAGGAATAATGGATTGCTTTCAACAAGTTTTGTTAAATTACTGTATGAATTTAAAAAATAGTCTTCGGTAATTTTGTTTCTGTTTTAAAAAAGTAATTTGTTGGGATAGTTTAGTTTATGCTATTTCATTAGCAAGCTTGTACTTTACCAATGACTTATGTATAGTATATTTAATAAGTGTCATGTAGTTAACAACTACATTTAAAAATGGCTCACTGTCTTTGTTGCTAAAGTATCTACAAATGACAGGGAACATGATAAAAAACTGCAACCAAAAACCAGCTTGCTACTACCAAATATGATATGCTCTAAAATACTAACCTTATTATACAAGTACTTCAGCTTGGTTGCATACAGAACTTTTTTTAAAGTGTATTAGGGCCCCTTTTGATATCTGGTGACTAAATTTTGGAAATAAATCCATAGGCTGCTATGACTTTGTTAAAATATTAGATAGCTTTGGGTGCTACGTATATTTGTTTTGAGTTTTGCAAAACAACAAATACTTTTACTTTCTCCAGAGAGAAATGAGAGGCAGCATCACCTTCAAGATTGTGCCAAGTTATCGCACTCAATCTTCTTCATGTGAGGTAATTACTTTCTTCTCAGTCTTAAAATTAACTGCCTGCTCATGGCTGAATATTATTGCTTTCTGGGAAATTGTTTCTGCCTGTGCTATTAGATCACACACACCAATTTTACAACAAAGATAACGGAACAAAGGAGTAGTTCGATCCACCTCCTGTATTGTTGCTATTTCATATTCATAACATCAATTCATTAAATATTACATAAATATCTAAAATAAAGCAAAACTAAAAATGGTAATTAGGCGATGGAATAATTAAAAACAAGCTTGAATAATAACACATTTGAGCAAGATAATTTAAATATTTTTTTAAAAAAAATCTGGACAATGAATTCTGATTGCTTCCTAAAAAGATTTGCTGAAAAGATGCAATGATATGACAGGATTTTTAATATTAAAAATAAGCTCAGATTGATTAAAGAGCCAGGGCTAACATTGAGGAACAATAAAACAAATCAAAATGGTGAATGCATCCAGTGAAAAATATTTAATGAATATTTAATGTGATCATATATTGCAAAATGCTAACTAGTGCTACTAAAATTATTTTGACCAACAAACTAGATTCGCAATGAAATAGCAAAAGAAAAATTGAAAAAATGCAAATAATTTTCTTAGAAATGTGATATTACACTCTAGTCCCGTGATGGCAAACCTGTGGCACGTGGAGCCATTTCTGAGGGCACACAAGGCATTCCCCTGTCAGCTCCAGCACACATATGCATGCTGGAGCTGACAGGAGGCTTCTGTGAAGCCTCCAAAAGGCGAAAAACAGCCCAATGCGCAAACCGGAAATGAGGAAGAGAGCTGCTGGCATGAGGGAAAGACAAGTGCAGGCAAGGAGAAAAGGTGGCTTCCTTATGCTGGCTGCTCTGTTTTCCCCCCTCCCCGAGGATCCTGCCTAGTCGCTGCAATCCAAAGGGAAATGAGGAAGAGAACTGCTGGCACGAGGAAAAGACAAGCACAGGCAAGGAGAAAAAGCAGCTTCCTTCCCTTGTGCTGGCTGCTCTGTTTCCCCCCTCCTCTGCACTATCAAAGAGGATCCTGCCTGGTCGCTGCAATCCAAAGGGAAATGAGAAAGGGAGCTGCTGGCACAAGGGAAAGACAAGCAGCAAGGAAAGAAAAAAAGTGAATTTTTCCCCTCATGATGGCTGCTCTGTTGCCCTTTTCTCCATTTCAGCGCCACGCCAGGGAGCCTGCCCCACCCACTATTGCCCAGGCCCTTAAGGATTTCTTTGCCTACCTGATTTTCCCTCTGTCTCATTTTTCCATCACATCTCTTGCCATTTTGGGCAGGGAAACAAAGTTTATGGGACTAAAAAAACCCTTCAATCTATCAATTCCAACTTCACGAGATTCCCCCCCCCACACACACACACACACAGAAGTTGGAGTTGGAGAAGTTTCCCTGCTCAAAATGGCAAGAAACGCAATGGAGCTAGAAATCAGGGTAAGCAAAGAAATGCTTGGGGGAAGCAAGGGCCTTGGCAATGGTGGGTGGGGCAGGCTCCATGGCATGGCACTGAAATGGAGAAAAGGGCAACAGAGCAGCCACCATGAGGGGGAAAATCTGTTTTTCTTCTTTCCTTGCTGCTTGTCTTTCCCTCGTGCCAGCAGCTCTTCTTCATTTTCCTATGGATTGCAACACTTAGCCAGGATCCTCTTTGGTAGCGCAGGGGCGGGGGGGACAGAGCAGCCAGCACAAGGGAAGGAAGCCCCTTTTTCTCCTTGCCTGCTGCTTGTCTTTCCCTCATGCCGGCAGCTCCCTTCCTCATTTATCTATTGCCTATAGTGCCCAGGATCCTCTTTGAGCAGGAAGAACCTAATAGGAGAAGCAAGAAGATGGAAAAGATAGTTATTAGATATGCAGTAAAAGTTGGTCTTGCTGAAATAGTTGTAGTTACTTGTCTCCTGCCAGTTTTGCCTAATAATATTTCATCCAAACAAATTAGTTAAAAATGCATCTAATCCATCAGTAATATTCCTTAATTGTGTGTCCAACAAATATGTTAGAACTATAACTGCCATTATTCTTAACCAGAAGTTTATGGAAGATGTAACCAAAACATCTGAAGGTAGATTAGGAAAGTTGACCTTAGCTATTGGTGGTATTTTTTTGTCACATTTAAACTTTTGAAAATATTTACAATTTTGGGGTATTCCATATTATTATATATTCAATGAATATATGGCTGTTTATTTTATTGTAGGAAGTAGGAATTCACTGCACAGATAGTCTTTGACATATGAACAGAATTGAGCCCAGATTTGCAGTTGTAAGTNGAGATTTGAACCGCCGAACTGCAGAACTGCAGTCAGCGGAAGTAGCCTGCAGTGCTGCACTCTAACCACTGCGCCACCTCGGCTCTCTGTAATCTGTGTAACTGTTACATTGGATGTACTGCTGTAAAATAGTTAAAGCTGTCTTTATTCTGCAATTACTTACCTGGCAGGTGAGATTCCATGATCACAAACATGGTTACCCCAGGATGAGGCTCATCCATTGCACTGTGGGTATGCTAACCCCAGAGATGTCCCCAAATGCGGGAAGCTCAACTATTGTAAATCTCCCAGTTACCCTGCGATAAGATGGGCGGCCAATAAATTTGATAAATAAATAAAATAAATATATTAGAAGCACACTACTGCTCAAAAGATTCCTCAGGAAGTTTGGTTGGTGGTTCCAGAAGGGTAACTGAAAGATAATGATTCCTCGATCTTACAGATTTTAAATGGCTATAGTAACAGTACTTGGAGGTATTAGCTGCCAAATTAAACAGTGAGTAATGAAAACTGCTTTGTGTTTAAGATCATTATTCACTCAACCACAATAGTTTCAGTAGCACAAAATTGAATTCTAACAAGTTAGAGCCTTGCCTTTGTGCATGTTTGTGGGTTTATGTGTTCATATTGTAACAGTAGGAAGTGCTGACTTGGAATGTCATAACGTGTAGTATAATTTTCAGCTATTGTCTTGGGTTCTTTTTAATCATTTTTTTTTATCATTTAGCCCAGACGGCACAGTGGTTAAAGTGCAGTATTGCAGGCAAACTCTGCCCACAGTGTGGAGTTCGAGCCTAAAGGGGCTCAAGGTTAACTCAGCCTTCCATCCTTCCAAGGTTGTTGAAATGAGGACCCAGATTGTTGGAGGCAATAGGTAAATAATGCTTCAACATTGTAAACCACCCAGAGAGTGCTGTAAAGCACTATGGGGTGGTATAAGCCTAAATGCTACTGCTATTGCTGTCATATTTGAGATCACATGATGATTTCAGCATTTAGTTGTGCTTGAAACAATGCAAATCAAGTTCGTTTTACATTTCTGGTGTCATAATATGTGGTTAACCGGAACTCATATGAATGTACATTCATACCATTTGAGCCTAGATACCCAGGACCAATGGTGGTTCCAGATCCTGTTGCAACCGTATGGTGCAGTGGGGCCGGGCGTCCACCACATGCATGTGTGCGTGTGCATGTGTACTTATTGCCTGCAACGCTCCAGCTGCTTGACGGAGCGTCGCACAGGTGCCGTGCGCTCCATGCCCATATGTCCCGATGAGCTCAAATACAGGTAAGGAGGGTGGGCGGGTGGAGGGGCTCTCCAGAACACTGTATCGGAACAGTACCTGGTGCTCCCAGCAGGTACCAGTACGCCTGTACCGGGGCGTACCAGTTGTATCCCACCACTGCCCAGGACTGATGGATGATGGATATCTCAAGTACTTAGGTTACAAACATCAGAATAGCAATAGCAGTTAGACTTATATACTGCTTCATGGGGCTTTCAGCCCTCTCTAAGCGGTTTACAGAGTCAGCATATCGCCCCCAACAACAATCCGGGTCCTCATTTCACCCCCCTCGTAAGGATGGAAGTCTGAGTCAACCCTGAGCCGGTGAGATTTGAACCGCCGAACTGCAGATAACAGTCAGCTGAAG